CATTCCCTAAGTGGAACAAGCACTTTGCTAGCCCATTCCCATGGATTTATCTAGTCCATTCCCAAACTGTGTCCAAAGCCCAGCTTAAATTACTGCTTTCTCTTCCAATGAACCATCTCCCAACACCCCCTACTCCCACCCCGTGGGAGATCCTTCTATGTTCTTGGCTAAGTCAGCACTTACACAAATCTCAAGAAGTCTGTTTTTTTTTTTTTAGAAGCTGTTTTAAGCACTTCTTTAGGAAAATAGAAACAAAGGAAAAGGAGAGAGTTAGTCCCCAAGGATATTAAATCTTAAGTGGTATGAGTTGATTGTACGGCTCTGAGTGGGATTTCTTCCCATGCTGCCCAGGCCAGGGCTAGAAGTCAAGCACATGGAGCCAGTCTCTCTGTTCTCTCATTCACTCGGTATGTGAGGGTTAGCACATCCAATGGTGCCAGTCTTCTCACTGGTCAGATGAGAATGGTGTTGTTTTCCTAACCTGCTGCACTGAGTAAAATGGCTCCACTGAAATAGTAGATAGAAGTGCAAGGCCTGGCCTTGCGCTGCCTCCTGTCTCTTGTTCTTCTTTTTCTTGAGTTGTTTTATGTAGTTTAGTAAATGCTAATGGAGCACAGATTGCTAGACAGGAGAAACAAAGGTGAACAATACCCACAATACCCCGTCCTTGCCCTCACCTTGCTGAAGATCTTAGGGCTTTTGCATTAAAACACAAAAACATGCCCTGGCACTTTGTGGTGGGCAAGAGCACAGCAGGTGGATCAGAGGATCTGGTGACATACACTTCCAGCTTTGGGCCAGGACTTGAGTGGGGAGGCAGATTTCTGTGAGTGGGCATGGGACAGGTGTCCTAGAGCTGGGACAAAACAAACACCACCAAGCCAAAGGGCGCTAGGGCACCAGATGCGTTGTGAACACTACTCAGTTCAGTCTGTCTGGAATGCAGAGTGCGTCTCTGTGCAAGTGGGGGATGCTGGAGTTCTGCTATAAAAACAGATGGGGCCTGAGCATGGGCGCCACATGTGGAAGTGGTGGCAAGGTATTAGTATTAGTCTACTCTTCGCTTGTGTGGTTTTTTTTTTTTTTTTTTTTCTGATTCTGCCTCCTGTTCTTTGCTTCCCCACCCAAGAGCCCCCACCCAGCCCAGGAGGAAGGTTTGCAGAGGCATCCAGACTGGGGGATTCCTGTACACCCTACAGTAGAAACACTGGGAGGATGGTCAGCAGGTGGCTTCCAAACTCCACAAGAGCTGGCCCTACTGTCAGCTTGTTTCAGGGCCTGCGTTGAGCTCCAGACCCCGACTCTGATTTTGAAGCAAAGGAGATGACCAGGGTATTGCTCAAGGCTTCAAGGCTTACTGGGACTCACTGAGGACTAGGGGTGCAATGGGGATAGGAACTGAATGTGTAGAATCTAGGCAGGGTTGGACAGCTGTTATAGCAGGGCCATCTGGACCCAGCTCAGTGAGCTTGAAGGGCTGGAGTTCTAGGGCTCAGCTTGGAAGAAGGGGAGCTGAAGAAGCTACTGCATGTGCTTAACCAACAAGAAGTGAGGCTGCAAGGGGCTTTTCTAAAGTATCCATAATACAAAACAAATGTCAATCAATTCTGCTAGTGCAAAGACCAGTATTTCATCCTCTATCCTCTCAATAGAAAAGGAGAGTAAGAATGATGAAGTGAACCAAGAGGATGTGGCAAAATGTAGAAGTATTCTAGTATCAGAATGTTACCCAGTTAATAAATAATAATAAAATGTTATTTTTCTGGAATTTGTGATTTTTTTTCAGCTATTTAATTTTAAAATTTGTCAGGATATCTTTTTCATTTTAAATAAAGTCACCTTCATACCTAATTTTGCATTTGTAATTTTGCATTTTTATTTTTAAAGAAGCTCCAAATTGTGTAAGCTGTAAGCCCCTACAAAATCTGGACAAGCCCCTAGAATGTCCTATAACATTTTCTCCATCAAGGTTTGATTATTTACAACTGCAAGGCACACTGAGCCCTAGGACTGAAGAACACAAGGAGATATAAAATGACTGCAGAAAGAGACAAAATAAACAACGGAATTAGTGGCTTGGCTGGAATATCATTGTCTTCATGCCTAGGAGCTTTGAAAAATCTGGATGGTCTGTGTCGGGCTCCAGATGAATTCTACACCCCAGCGCATCTGGCTGGAAGTGGCTGTCCAACAAGGGCTCTGCTAGAACCACACTTAGGTGGCATTAATAATCTGTAACACCATTCTCACTTGCAATTTTCTGCAGGTTATCTTCTCAATTAGGTTTCCCAATATTAAATCAGATGGGCTGTGTAAACATGTTCAAGAAGGATGAAAACTAGGATTTAGCTATTCACATGTAAACATTTGCCACAGCACAAGTATTCTATTCAAAAACAAACAAAAAGCTATAGCAGAGCTCTAACCAAAGTCCAGTTTAATAAGTAATTTCATAGTACAATTGGCTTAACTCGCTCTATTTTATAGAGCAGATGCATCTGAAGTATTGTAAAAACTAGTTTAAAAAGAAATTTCATACTTTTGCATTTGCTATCTATAAAACTATGGTTTAAGGACTGAATAGTTTGCTGAGGAGCAGACTTTTAATATATATATATATATATACACACACACACATATATATATATATATATACACACATATATACACATATATATTTACAATGCTACAGAGCCACAACTTCCCAAAGTTATAATTTTTCACTCTGGACATGTCTGAAATTATGGTTTTCAAGATACTGGACCACTGGACAGCAGGAAGGGAGGGACAGTGGTCCTTGAGAGCTGCGTCATGAAGCACGCAGGCAGAAGCCGGGAGGAACCCAGCAAGCTCCTTGAGTTGAAGAGACACAGCTGAGAATGTGGAGAAGACCAAAGCAGGCAGAGGAAGCAAACGAAACCACCAACCAACTTGAGGGAAATGACCTTTAAAAAATACGAGAGTATTTCAGAAAGTTAGTCAAAAATGTAATTAAAAGGTAAGTTTATTTTGGTGCAAAAAAATTAAAAGCCATGCATAGATTTTTCATAATACACATTTTTACAAACTTTTTGAAGACCATCTTGTACACATACTTTTAAAGTGTATATGGAACATTTACCAAGTAGAACATGTTCTGGGTCACAGAGCAAGTCTCAATAAATTTCAAAGGATTTGAGTCAGGCAAACTGTTTTCTGCCCACAATGGGATTATATCAGAAATCAATTTCAGTCATATATTTACAAAAATAGCTGGAAAGTAAACATATGTCTAAGTAATAAGGATCAAAGAAAAAATAAAAGTGGAAATTAGAAATTATTTGAAAGGAAACACAAAGTATCAAGACTTGTGGAATGCTGCTAAACTGTAAGCCTATATTAGAAAAGAAAAGTCTCAAATCAATGACCTTGGCTTCTAACCTAAAAAGTTAGAAGAGCAAATAATACCCAAAGTAAGTAGAAGAAAGGAACAATAACATCAGAGTGCAAATCAATTAATAGAAAAATAGGGAAAATCAATAAAACCCAAAACTGTTTCTTTGAGAAGCTCCAAAACAGAGATCAATCTCTATCTAGACTGACCAGGATAAAGGGAAAACACAAATGACCAATATCAAGAATGAAAGGCCAGATTTTACTATAGATAATAAAAGGATAAAAATGTAATATTATTAAATTTATGCCAACAAATTTGACAACTTAAGTGAAAAAGGTGGATTCTTTAAAAGATACAGACTACCAAAGCTTAGTCTTGAAGAAAGATAGTCTAACTGGCCCTGTATCTATTAAAAGAATTTATGTTAAATTATATTTACAAACTTTCCCCGACCAAACAAAAAACCCCTCCAGGTCCAGATGGGTTTATTAGTGAATTTACCAAATGTTTAAGGAAGAAATAATATCCATTCTATACAAAGTTTCTGATACAAATGAGGAAGAGGGGATGCTTCTTACCTTATTCTAGGAGGCCAGGATTACTCTGATACCAAAACCAGAAAAAGACATTACAATAAAACAATAGTCTAGTATCCACGATAAATATTTGTGCAGAAATTCTAAACAAATTTTTAGCAAATCTGCCAGAAGATATAAAGGAGAATATATGAGGATTCAGTTAGATTTATCCCAGGAATGCAAGGTTGTCTTAATATTCAAAAATCACTCAATATAATTCATTATAAAAAATAAACAGAAAACCACATGATTATCTCAATAAACACCAGTTTGACAAAATTCAATATCCATTCCATTAAAAACTCATCCCATTCACTTATTTGTTTTGGTAGAACTTTAAAAACTGATTCTAAAACTCACACAGAAATGCAAAGGGCTTAGACTAGCCAAAACAAATTTTAAAAAGGACATAGTTGGAGGATTAACACTACCTGATTTCTACACTATAAAGCTACTGTAATCAACACAGTATTGTTTTGGCATTAAGGTCGATAAACAGATCAGTGTAAAAATAGAGAGCCCAGAAATAGACCCACATGTATACGGAAAATTAATTTTTTGACTAAAGTATGAAAGCATTTTAAAAAATGAGTCATTTTAACAGATGGTGCTGAAGTAATCAGACATCCAAACAACAGTAAAAATGAAATTCAAATCATACATCAAACTATATACAAAATTCAAACACCCCAATTTAAATAACGTATAAAATATTTGAATAGCCACTTCACCGTAAGTGAATGACAAATAAGATGCTCAGCATTATTTGTCAGTAGGGACACACAAGTGAAAACCTTAATCAGATCTCACTACATGCCTATTGCAGGGGCCAAAATGAAGACTGACAGTATCAACTGTTGTTAACAAGGAAGAGCAAGCGGCACTCACTACTGGTGAGAATGCAAAATAGTAGAACCACTTTGGAAAACAGTTTGACAGTTTTTTTTTTTTTTTTTTTGAAATCATAGACATATAGCTACCATACTTTTTACTCATAGGTATTTATCTAAGAAAAGTGAAATATGTGTTCATTCAAAGACTTCACATGAAGGTTCATAGAAGATTTATTTTTCAAAATAAAATACTGCAAACAGCTCAAATATCCAACAATAGGTGAGTAGAGAAACAAACTGGTATATCCATCTAATACAACACTATTCAGCAACAAGAAGGAATGTTTATTAGTACATGCCCTGGAACGGATGAATTCCCAAATGATCATGTTGAGTAAAAGAAGTCAGACAGAAAAATGTACATGGTAAATAATTTGATTTATATAAAATTAAGAAATATGTGATCCATAATGACAGAAAGCACTGGGAGGAGTGTACAGAATCACAGAGAGAGATTAAAAAGGGGCCATGAAGAAGCTTTGAGGTGAGGAAAATTGACTGCAGTGATGGTTTCATGGATATACACATGTCACAATCAATCAAATTACACACTTTAAATATATGCAGTTATTTGTCAGTCAATTATATTTAATACAATATATATTTTCTAAAAGCCAAAACTTACAATTTGGTTCTAGGAAGCTAAAGCAAAATACAGGTTGAGAGTTCCAAAACTCTCAGAACTTCAAGATACTAACTTTACTTGGTTCTAAAATGTACCGTGCATTAAGTGTGAAATAAGCTATTATTATCAAGTGTCCAAGCACCAGATCACAACACCCATAATGAAGCGCTCCCCAACTCACACAGACCATGTAGACAAGTCTTTAAAATCAGGCTTCACCACCTCTTTTCTTTCTCTTTCCTCATCTTGGCAAGGGGGTGGGGTATTAGAAGATTGGATATATGAAGAAAGATACACAATAGTTGTTGAAAATTTATGAATTGAAACTAGACAACGTATACTAATATCCAAAAAACCCTAAGATTATTATTTGTTTTTCTCCTTACTTTTCTTACCATTAGTCTCTAGTTTTATTGTGTAAAGTTTAAAAAATTTATTTGAAAGGCAGAGTTACAGAGAAAGAGGGAGAGAGGGGGATAGGGTCCTCTTCTACTTTTAAATCCCTCTTACTTTTTTCCCTTTCCTTTTTTATTTTTGCTCTCCTTCTACTGTCTCTTACTCTCCAAATCCCCAACTCCTTGGTTGCTGGTGAGATTGTGTAGTTGCTCCCAGCACTACATGGACCCTAGAGTAATCTGTGCAAGTTCACATTCCTTGCTCACTGTGTTAGGCGTGTATTTACTATCCCATGCTTCAGCCCCTTTATCTATAAAAGGTACAATAAGAAACATTCCTTCCTCCCAGGGTTGTTGTGATGACGAAATGAGTTAGCATAGGAAAAGTACTTAGAATAGGCATACATCGTGTAAGTATTAACATTCTCAGAGCGCCTATTCCCTGCCAGGCACATTGGATTCCAGCCAACTAAATGTGAGTAGCCCTAGGCTCAAAGAAGAATGCAGAAGACATGAGATTCCAAAACTCAGTCCTGGTTAATCCAGCACAGTTCTCTAATCTTGACCATGGTCTTTATAAATCAGGGCTAAACTCTTTATTGGTAGAGCTCAGCATTGTGGTGTAGCAGATTAAGCTACTGCCTTTGACGCTGGCAACCCATATGAGTTCTGGTTTGAGTCTCGGCAGTTCTGCTTCTGATCCAGCTCCCTGCTACTGCACTTTGGAAAGCAGGGGAGGGCCCAAGTGCATGGGCCCTTGCCACGCACATGGGAGACCTGGAGTTCCAGGCTCCTGGCTCCAGCCTGGGCCCGCCCTAGCTATTGTGGCCATTTGAGAAGTGAGTCAGTGGAAGGAAGATATCTGTTTCTCCTTTTCGCTCTGTAATCCCGACTTTCAAATAAATAATCTTTGAAAATCTATTTATTGGTAAAATGAGAAGTCTGTTTGGTGTAGAGGGTTGTCTTTATAGTCCATCTTTTGTTTCTTTATGATTGGAAAGTATAAAATATTACCAAATGAAAAGCTTCCCCCTCCTACAAATTTTTGTCACACTTGAGATGTGGCATGGATTTTGAGGAAGATAACATTGAAATTATATGGACAGCACACTGGCTAAAATTTTAGTGAAACATTGTCACCTCTTAAATCTCTTATGAAAAACTGTACTATACTTTGATTTTTCTGAAAATAAGTATATTCAGAGTTCTGGATCAGAACTATCCATTTCTAAAACCATACAATGGGATTCAAAATGTTCATGCAAAATGGAATTCAAAGATTAAAATAAAAAAAGGTTTGTTTCTTATGTAAATTACATCAAATTCAAGACATGTTTGTAAGTTACACTACCCACTTAGTCTGTCCCTAAAGAACTGAGGATCCTGGGGTTTTAATCATGTCAACACAGTCTTTTTAAAATATATATTATTAATTAAAGAAAAATGAGTGCCCTTTAAAGATTTTTTAAGGTTAGGAAGTACAAAGATGTCTGAGGGGGCTAAATTAAGACTGTAAAGTGGATGCCTAGTGGTTTCCCAACAAAACTCTGGCAAGATTGCCCTTGTCTGAGAGGAGCGAGCAGAAGTACTGTTGTAGTGGAGTCATCTCTGATGAAGCTTCCCTGAGCATTTTTCCGCTAAAGCTCTGGCTAACTTTTTCAAAACAGTCTCCTAATAAGTCTGTGTTATTGTTCTCCTTGGACCTTCAAAAAGTCAACAAGAAAATGCTTTGAGTATACCAAAAAAACTGTTGCCATGACCTTTGCTCTGTACTGACAGACTTTCATTTTGATGGGACCACTTCTACCTCTTGGTAGCCATTGCTTTGCTTGTGCTTTGTCTTCAAGATCATACTGGTAAAGCCATGTTTCTTCTCTTTTACTGCTTTGAAGAAATGCTGCATGATCTTAATTGTGCTTATGTAAAAGTTTCATCAAAAGCTCTGCTCTTCTCCGTAGCTGATCTGGGTACAACAGTTTGGCATCCATTGAATGCAAAGTTTGCTCCACTTTAATTTTTCCACTAGAATTGTGTAAGAGGAACCAATTGAGATGTCTATAGCATTGGCAAATGACTCTGCTGTTAACTGTCAGACTCCTTCAATCAGGACATGAACAAAATTAATTTTTTTCTGGCAAATGGATGTGGATGGTCTGTCACTGCAGGCTTTATCTTCAACGTCATCCTGTTCCTTCTGCTTTATTTTGGTTCAAAGAAAAGTGACATGGTCTCACCTGGATTTTAACCTTCTGGCTACTAGTTCTAAAAAAGGGTTTATTTATTCATTCAAAAGGCAGAGTAATAGGGGATGGAGCACAGAGACACATAAGGAGAGATCTTCCATCTGCTGGTTCACTCCCAAATGGGTGCAACAGCCAGGGCTGGGCCAGGCTGAAAAGAGGAGCCAGGAACTCCATCCATGAGTTCCTTGGTGGCAGGGACCCAAGCATCTGGGCTATTTTCTGCTGCCTTGCTGCCTTCCCAGCTACATAAGCTAGAAAGGAAGTGGAGCAGCTGGGACTCAAACTGGTACTCTAACACAGGATGTTGGCTTTGCAAATGGTAGCTTAACCCACTGCACCACAATGCTGGCCCCATTTCTTGTTTTTCATTTACAAGCTGTTTTCTTTGGGGGCATTGACCCTATAACCTTTTTGTAAAGCATCAATAACTTCACCGTTCTTCATCAATAATTTCACCGTTTGGTGTTTGCTCTTGCTTCCATTTTAGCAGATTTCCTCTTGTTCTGCTGGGGCTCTTTTAAAATTTTATTTATTTGAGAGAGAGAGAGGAGGGGGGAGAGAGAAAGAGAGAGAGAGAGAGAATGTTTTCATCTGCTGGTTCACTCCTTAAATGTTTATAATTACTGAGGCTGGGACCTGATCTAAGCCAAGACATGGAATTCAATCCAGATCTCCCACATGGGTGGCAGGGATCCAGTTACTTGAACAATCACTTGCTAATTTCCAGGTTGTGCATTGGCATGAAGCTGGAGTCAGGAGTGAAGCTGGGACTCAAACCCAAGCATTCCAGTACAGGATGTGGCAGCTTAACCACCACCTCAATCACCCACCCCAGGGGCTCTTTTCAAATTGATGTCTTTTCCTTCTTAGGTACTGAAACTAGGCCCTGTTCAGACATGCTCTAAAACTTAGTATGAGTTTATTTTTGGTGCAAACATTTTCAAATCCATGCATCGTTTTTTTCATAATATGTATTTTCCATGAGCTTTGTGAAGACCCCTCCTACATGAAATCTCTTGAGAGGTTAACAGTCTGTGTACTTCATCTGTGAGGCCATTAGCTTGGTCTTAGCGACCCAGCAGGAGAAACTCTCATTTCAGGAACAGTCTGCAGCTATTCTGTCTTCTCCAAGGTCAAGCAGCCTGAGTAGTAAGTGAAATAACCAAAGACAATTAGTAGGAGTCCTCATGGCTCACTTTGTGTGAAACTCCCTGGAATAAGTATAATATTCTACATATAATGCTGCTGTCATCCAAGAAAAATACTTGACTTTTACAAAGCACTAAGATTTAATGTAAAAAATTTTAGTTGGCCTCATCACACATAGCTTCTTTGATTATAAGATTTGGTGAGAACTACAATGTAACTAGGTATGACTGAGCATACAACAGCAAGGCTTTCATGCTCATTTAGAAGTATATTATGAGGGTGTGTGGAGTTTCCTCACTTAATATCCTATTTGAGAAACTGCCAATGGGTCAGAAAATACTAGTACTCTAGAGATTGAATTACGAATATTATACTTCTGCTGGGTCAAATCCTGATTCAGAAACTGCCACAGGGATGATTAATCAGTGGACACCAACTTGTCTAATGAAGGTATACTGACTACAGGGACAAACAGGAATTTGTTAAAATGACTATTTATCAGACCTTGGGTCATGCTCTAATTGTGAGTTCTAAGTCTTCCTGTTATCCATCAGCCGTATTCCTTGACATTCCTTATAATTCCTACAGGAAGTCTTTGTACTGCTCTCTGTTGGAATGGCTTGTTACCAACCGAGGCTACAACATGGTTGATTCTATGTCATCTGTTACCAGGTGGAGTTACCTGTCTCAAACTGAACATTCATTTAGTTGTTTAGAGCCAGACAGAAATATCCGTGAGCAAACTTGCAAGACTCTCACTTCAGCTAGCCGGTGGTTTCAGTGTTGGAGCAACTGGCAGAGGTAAGGTGGTAACCAGTTAGACTGATTCAGTATTTCAACTGGTCATTATAAAAGACAAAAGGGAGGAAATGGCTCGGTTTGATTAACCAATGTCCATAGGTCGGGGTTTGAAATATTGAATGCACTGAAATACTGAGTGTGTGCGAGTGTGTGTGTGTGTGTGTGCCTGCACGTGTGCCCCGTATGTGGGATAGCAAAGAGGAAATTCAAGTTTTACTCTGATTTTCAAGATGAGGTAGGTAAAGGATAACAGGGAATCTATATAGAACATTGCTAGTTAAGCTCATTTAAAAATTATTTATTAATTCAGAATTGGGAAATATTAAAAAACAAAACAAAGCTTTAAGAAGTATAAATGAATGGCTACAATTTTAGTTTATTTCCTGCTGGATGATTTTCTGGGCATCTTTTCATGTAGTTGAGATGATAGTTATGCACTATTTTGTTTTGTATTCACATTAAAGCTGCTTTATAATAACTTTTAGTGTCAAAATATCCTATCATCATATTCTAATGTGGCTAACATTGTTAAGCATTGTGATATGTTATTATGAAAATTTATACACAAATTATATGCACTTTTTTAGGATTTTTTCATTGAAATGAAATGCTAAGATTAAAGAGTTATTATATTTTTAAGGTTTTAGATACACTGTCCCAAATGTTTGAGCCAAAACATTGCCATTTCATGGCAATATTGTGGCACTGAATGTTTCTTGAAAGAAGGAAAAACCTTGCTGATTTGACAGAGAAAGTGTTTTATTATAGCTTTATTCACATTCTGTGATTACTATTTGTAATTCTTTTTGTTTTTCCTCTTCTGCTCATACTTTGTTCATGTCCTTTGCTTATATTTTCTATTTTTCAACCAATTAGTGAAATTGTTTTGTTTGATAAAGTCTCCACTAACATAATAAAATACTCACTAGATTTCATTGTTTGGATTGATTTAAATATTTTATTTAAAGAAATGTTCTGAAGGCTCTAATTTATTGATAGGAAAAATATAATGCATACATATTTATAGGTGATTTTATACTGATATTATAGCAAATAGATTCTCCAAATAACATGATTGATTTTGTAGTGCTACTAGTGGGATGCATTCTGCAGAAATGTACTTTTACCTTCAAATCTGAGCACATTACCCTTACATCAGAAGAAAAAAACCGAGATAATAAAACACCGCTTTGATTAGTTTAAATTTTAGTAGACCACATCTGATCTGTTGAAGAGTAAGTTCTTTTATTTACCTCTTCAAGGAAGCCATTAATTTTTTCACTTCTTTCTGTGTTACTTTATCCTATAAAGAAAACACAAACACACAATGAAACTTCACACATTTATCCTGCTACTCTGGGTACTTTGAAATAGACGTCTGTGGAGTGCAGGCGTATTTTTTTTTTTTTTTTGAAAGGCCATTACAAAGTAAATACAGATTTCTTTGGCGTAGGCCACGATCCACACCTATGAAAATATGGGTAACGTGGGGGGCTGTCTCCAGGCTCTGCCCTCCTGGGTCGGGAGTGGTGGGCTTCTGGAAGGAGACAGTGAAGCAGACACAGTGGCTCCACAATCACAACATGTGAAGACGTCCTAGCCCCAGCAGCAGGATTGGAAGAAACCTGGACGATGCAAACATCTGAGCTGAGACAGCACACTTTCTAACCTTCTGTGAAAGTCAGGTGATTGTGGGGCATTCCCAGGTCAACTTCAGTGTGCAGGAACAGGGTTCATCCTCCTGAATTTTACTATGGAACAATGCTAGATGGATCCTTCCTGTAGATATTTTGCATAGGTTTTCACACTTTGCTGCCTGGACTCTGGTAGAGAAATCCTCTTCCTTCACTACATGGCCCCTTTGCTTGCATCAACTGGGAAGTCACATATGATATTTAGAGCTAAGATTCCCAGGTAGACCAGATGACTGATGTTCTCCAATCTCTTTGTATGTTCCCCTTTGAGAGGGGCCAGTAGGGCCCAGTCTTCCTGAGTTCACAGCTAAGTTCTCAAAGGTCATCATTTCCAAGGGTTGCACTGTTAAGAACTCAGCCACCATCTGTCTTTTTCTGATTTCTTAACCAAGGACAATACTAGCAACAAGCCAAAAAAAAAAAAAGCATAACCTAAATAGATGGACCCTCAAGTGAACCCACATTTTTAGAAAGATTTATTTACTTGAAAGGCAGAGTTAGAGAAAGATAGAGAGACAGAGAAATCTTCCATGTGCTGGTTCACTCCTCAAGTGGCCCCAACAGCCAGAACTGAGCCAGGCCAAAGTTAGGTAGGAGCCAGGAGCTTCAACGGGGTCTCATATGTGAGTGGCAGGGGCCCAAGCACTTGGGCCATTTCCTGTGGATTTTTTGCTTTTTAAAATATTTATTTATATGAAAGGCAGAATTAGAGAGAGAGAGCGAGAGCGAGCAAGCTTCCATCCCCTGGGAGCTAGATGGTAAGTGGAGCAGCTGGGACTTGAACCAGTGCTCATAAGGGATGTTGGCACTGCAGGCAGCAGCTTTGCATGCTATGCCATAGCGCCCGCCCCATTTCCTGCTGCTTTTCCCAAGCCATTAACAAGGAGCTGGACCATAAGTGGAGCAGCAAGACTCAACTCAGTGCCCATATGGGATGCCAGCATTGCAGGCTATGCCACAATGCAGGTGCCCAACTGACCCCACATTGATACTGAGGTTGGTGTCACCACACTCTGGAGCTCAGAGCTGTTTTCTCTTTTCTGTAAAAAGGCCAGGGATCTCTATTTTTAATAAGCAAGTCTTACAGACTCAAATGACTGGCTTCAAATCCTAGTTTCTGTAGACTTGAGCAAAAACACCCCATACTTGTAATACAAACAAAGAAAGATATTCTATTTCCTCCCTTCATTCAAACACACACATTCAAAAATCCAGATTTAGTTCACCTAAAGTATTAGAAAACATACTTTGGGAAATACATCAACGCTCCTTTCTAAAAAGTTTGGGTGAATGAAGGAGAGATTTACTGGGGACGGGCATTGTGTTGTAACAGGTTAAGCTACCTCCTGCAACACTGGCGTCCCTTATTAGTGCAGGTCTGAGTTGCAGTCCTAGCTACTCTGCTTTGATTCGGCTTCCTCTTAATGCAGCAGAAGACACTACAAGTAGCTGGGGCTCTGCCACCCATGAGTGAGATCAGGACCAAGTTCCAAGCTTGTTGTGGCCATTTGGGGCATGAACCAGAGGATGGAAGACTCTCTCTCTCTCTCTCTCTTTCTGACTCTTTGCAACTCTGCCTTTCAAATAAACACACAAATCTCAAAAAAAAAAAAAAAAAAAAAAAAAAAAGCAGAACAAAGAAACATTATATACTGGGAAATCTCAAGAAATAATACATTGAAAAATTTATTTATGTAATTTCAGTTTATTTGAAAGGGAGGGAAGGCGGGAGGTTGGGAGGGAGGAAGAGAGAGGCAGTAGTGGAGTTGGGCCAGGCCAAAGCTAGGAGCCAGGAACTCAGTACCTAGGTCTCCCATGTGGGTGACAGGGACTCAGGTGCATGAACCATCACCTGCTACCTCCCCAGGTGCATGTTAGCAGGAAGCTGGAGCAGGGAGTGAAGCCAGGACTCAAATCCAGACACTGTGATGAGGGATGTGGGCATCCCAAGCAGTATCTTAACAACAGAGCAAAATGTCCACTCTAAGAAACAACACACTTTGAATGCAAGTGACAAGAAGATAGGGCCAACAGAGTAGAAATAGGAGGCTGTAAAATGCAGTAACATTCCCTTCCTGCAACTCTTGAAAATGTCTGTTTAGATGGCGGGAAAATCTGCCCCTCCTATAACTGCCTTTTTAATTTTCTTTAAAAGTTTATAAGGAAGAAGCAGCTCTCCAGGCATGGAGAGTGAGTGAGCCCACAAGAACTAAATTTAAACCAGAAATAAACAGGCAAATAAGAAGTTCTGACAAAAGAGCCAGCATTACTGATTTCAGCAAGTGAAATCCTCTGGCCTGCAGTCTTTCTATTATCAGGAAGGCAGGGTGAACGCTTATATCCAAATTATATGTTAGAAACAAATCGGAGAACAAGTGTCTTAATTCAGACAATCAAATGTGACGTCTGAAGTAGGAAAGAACATTTAAAGCAGGATGAGGATTTTCTTTCTAACAGAAGCTACCCATGAGGGTGCTGATTCTCACCGTAGACAACACGGAAACACGTCTCCGGACTTTACCCAACAGGTCATTCAAAGATAATGTGAAGAAAGACTGTTAGCTTTCAGGGCTCCCAGAGCCCACTTCTTGTTGTGGGTGTTTCTGGTACATTGGATTTATGATCCTATAGGAGTCTGCCTGTCTTAGAAGGGTGATTTTTGTCACTTCAAAAATATTACAGTAAATTTAAAATATAGGGTGTTAAAAGAGATTAGTGCATCCTTCACCGTAAAACAAAATATTACATAATGCTTTTGCTATCTGAGCTTTCTCGGGAGACTCCAAGTCACGATCGTGGAGACTGCCTCCAGGCAAACCACTCTGAGTTTGCTGATGAAGTCATCATTTTACGCAGCAATCATTCTCACACTGTCTAACACACAGGGACGACTCCTTTTATTTAGAAAGAAAGGAAAGTTTCCCAGGATCTGCGATGACCTCGTAGGGTCAAGAAGAGTCCACGTGAATAATTAAAGACTGTGCTTTCAAATCCTGGCAACACAGTGCTGCGCGCACACCTGCATCTGGGCTCCAGAGACCAAATGGCTGACACTCCCAATAGCGAGGAGCTGAGTGACGGGCCTGCAGTTCGCTGGCAGGGCAGAGGACAGGTCCACGATGACTGTCATGCAGGGCAGAAGTGACAAATGCCACAAGAAAGAAGCCCATGTGGTACACAGACTCACAGGAGGGAGCGGGGACCAATGGCTCCGTTGTCTTCAGTGTAATCAGTGGTGCTGCGAGACACTTTGGAAATGAATGAACTAACCCCACCGAGATGGGACGCACTACCTACAGCTCACTCCATCCTAGTTTCCTCATTGAGAAAGAAATTAAACATTCCTGGCAGTACCTTCACCATGCGAAGAAAATGACTAAAAATACGAGTGGAGATATCACTGAGAACAAAGATGCTGGGGCAACACGTGCTCGTGTTGCTTTGCTAACTGCAGAAATCCTTCCACAATGTCCAACTTCCTGAGTTACACTCATTTCCAGTCCCATACATCAGCACTAGCCACACTGTTTTTGTATTTGGATGGTTCCAGTGTTCTGATTCTTTCTACCGGTTCTCTTGACTGCTTATTTTATGCCAGGCAGCAGAGTCAGAACTAGGTATAGAGCGGTAAATGCAAGAGAGCACTCTGCTACCCTCATGGAACAAACACCCAGATAACTACAATCACAACCTCGCTAGACGACACGAGGAAAAGCACGAGAGGTTTTCTCGCGAAGGGCTATCACGGAAGTGCTTCCTGAGGATGGGAGGGCATAAAGCTGGTGGAAGAATGGAGGGCCTGGGAGAGTGCTTTAGGAAGGAGGGACAGCACGTTCGGAGGGTGCAGGGCGGGAAGGAACAGGTACGGAGGAGGCGAGTGAGGGTGCCACGAGCTCAAGAGACCGGGAGGAGCTCCATCAGTGCTCTGAAGGGGAAGCTGCACCTGGACACAGAGAGGTGTCAGCAGGAAAGTGACATGCTGAGGGTTATGTTCACTCCGCAGTATTAGCTGCTACTGGAAGGCTGCGAGGAGAGCAGCCACCGGGCTTTCCCAGTCCCAAGTTCCCCTGAAAGCAGAGGAGCAGCAATGGAGAGACATAGCACACGGGTGGAGCAAAGCCTGTTTTAAAGAGGACTACCTGGAGGATGGCCCAGGTGCTTGGACCCTGTACCCATGTGGGAGACCAGGAGGAGGCGCCTGGCTCCTGGCTTTGGATCAGCGCAGCTCTGAAAGTGGCGGCCATTGGGGAGTGAATCAATGGATGGAAAACCTTTCTCTCTTGTTTTTTCCTCTCACTGTCTGTAACTCTACCTCTCAAATAAATAAATAAATAAATAAGTGGACTGCCAAGCACTTGGTGACTGGGTGGAGGTGTGGATTGGGCCGGGGCGGGGGCAGTATGAAGGATGATTTCCAGGTTGCCCAGTTGGGTCGATACAAGTGCCATCTACTTAGAGGGGAGGTGGAGGAAGAAAGATGCCACTGCCTGATGCTAATTAAGTTTAGGACTCAGAGTTACATGTCTGACAGACACCCAGGGGCTGATGTCACAGCAAGAAGTTGGCTAATCAGACCTCGTGCTAAGAAGAGAGATCTAGAGACACAAAT